TTTGTTATAGATTAAAGTAACACCCTTATATTACCCACTGACAAAAAATATTTAAAATATGAATATTCTTATTGAATTTTTTGGGTGTCATGTACCATGATTCTTTTTCAACTGTCCACGGTCCATACATAAAGATAAAAAAAAAAAAAAACTCATGATTCTCACATCATAAATCACTATCTTTGAGATTTTAGGTCGGCCAAGGATTACAGAAAGCCAACCACTTCATGTGGATCATTTGCTTCGACTTTTAATACGGGGAAAAAAGACTTCGACTTATTGGAAAGGGGTATTGGATTCTTGCTCCTTATAAATATAGTTTATCCCTTGTTCACCCAACGGCCTTTACAATTGAGCCTCGATCAGAGCCTACTGATCATATGATTGGTCTTCCTCGTTCGAAGGTACTTGTCAACAGACGTTCGTTTCACGGGCTTTCACCTATTTTGGGCTTTTAGATTAGGCTTGAGTTGACTTATGTTAAAATATGATGGTATAATCAGTTTTCACACTGGTCCATGAAAAATAGCCAGCGTTTATCAAGTCAATGAAAAATAGCCACTATTTTGCTGCAACAGGGACCGGTCCAGTATAATATACGGGAGTTCTGGTGCATTTGTGTACGAACTCCAGCATATTATGCTGGACCGGTATACTTTGCTAACTCCTGTAAAATTTGTGGGAGACTGGAGCACCAGTGCTCCAAACTCCAGTATATTATACTGGACAATTATACTTGCTGGAACTCCCGTAAAATTTGCGGGAGTTCCAGCATAATTATGCTTGAACTCCCGTAAAATTTGCGGGAGTTCCAGCATAGTTATCCTGGAACTCCCGTAAAATTTACGGGAGTTCAAGCATACTTATGCTGGAACTCCCGTAAAATTTGCGGGCGTATTTTTCCGGATTTTGAACAGTGTTTTCGCTCAGATTTAAAGTGGCTAAATTTCGATGACTTTTGAAACTTGGCTATTTTTCAACGACTAGTGGTAAATCTGGCTATTTTTGAATTTCTCCCTTGACTTATCCGTCTTTGTAATAATTGCATGAGGCGCCCTATTTCGGCGCCCCTTTTTAACATGTAGCCGCTTTGTCTTTCTGTTTGCACCTGTACCCACTTTTTAAAGAACTTCAGCTTCCCTTTCTCCTCCCCTTCTCCTTCTTCATTTTCTCATTGTCTGGAAACACAACTCCGTGAGGACTGAGGAATGATATGGTCATACCATTGATCAGAAAAAGGCACCAATTTTTATCCAACAAAAAGACAGCAACACGAAAATCAAATATGTTGTAATATAGATAAAACATAGAAACCGTAAAGAAAATGGAGAAACTGGTCATCAACGATTAGAGATTCAAATGTTAAAAAGAAAAGTTTTCGAAAACGAAATAACATAACAACAAAGCATTTATTTTGCAATAAAAACAGAACGCAAAATCGGATGCATTAGATGATCACAATATAGTTAATTAGATGTAACTGTATCTTCTTGGTGTCCTGAGCTGAAGTTAATTAGACAGAAACTTCAGCTCTATAGCTGAAGTTTTCAGTTACAGCACAAAAACTTCAGCTCTAGAGCTGAAGTTTTCTAGTTAAAACATAGAAACTTCAGCTCTAGAGCTGAAGTTCTTCAGTTACAACACAAAAACTTCAGCTCTAGAGCTGAAGTTTTCTAGTTACAACATAGAAACATCAGCTCTAGAGCTGAAGTTTTTCAGTTACAACACACTAGAGCTGAAGTTTTCTAGTTACAACATAGAAACTTCAGCTCTAGAGCTGAAGTTTTCCGGTTACAAAGACAAAAACTTCAGCTCTATAGCTGAAGTTTCCCAGTTACAAAGACAAAAACTTCAGCTCTAGAGCTGAAGTTTTTATTTTATTACTGGCAAACTTCAGCCTGGTTACTAAACAAAAACTTATAAAATAAAACTTCAGCTCTAGAGCTGAAGTTCGCGAGTTACAAAACAAAAACTTCAGCTCTAGAGCTGAACTTCAGGCCCGGCTACTAAAATGCTGAAGTTTTGTGTGATTGCCTTTGCTACTTCAGCCCCGTGTGCTGAAGTTATGCGAAAAAGTGGGTACGCTTGTAATTTTTTTTGCAAAGCGGGCACAGGTTAAAATGTGGCACAAAAAGCGGGTATAGATGCAAATGCCCCTCCGTCTTTCGTCTCTTGGGCCACTCAATTTGGGCTTATATGGGTCCCAACCCATATATAATAGTGGGTTTATATTAGGGGACTTTTTTATTTCTATACACTATTTAAAACTTTATTACTCTTGATGTCTATGTTTAGCTAGTTACCTGGAATAAACAAGTTTTGTTTACAAAATATATACAATCCACCATAAAAGGCTCACAAATCCATTATTTGTGCCTTCAATCAAGGGATTTAGTTACACCTTTTTCCTTCTTTTTTTTCTCTTCTTCTCTTTCCTTATTTTTCTCCAATCATCGGCAGTGCCTTCAATCATCCATGCTGATTTGGAACAAATTAAGAAGTAGCAAAATTGAAAAACTAAATATAACTATATCTTCCAGACACCTCCCACTCCAATAACTTCTCATAATCGCATCCTTTTCCACTCCATCCTTCTTTACCGATTACTACTCATTCCCTCTACCTCAAATGTGAGAGTAATTCAAATATAAAATATCCAAAGATAAAACGAATCTATTAATAGAAAAAAGAAATAATAGAAGGGGGCCATCAGGAACCAAAATTGATCCCTAGAAGCTTAAGGCTATTGTACGGTCCGCATAATGATTTGATCTTTTCAAAGATCGGATCACATGGATCCTATATGTGTGTAATTGAGTAAAAAAGAATAGAAAAACAATTTAGAAAAAATCAAAAATAATCAAAACAAAAAAGTAAGGAAAGAAGCTCAGAAGAGTATACATGTATGAGAAATTTAACATCACCATAATCAGAGTGGTGTATGACTTTCTGAAAATAAATGTGGGATCAGAAATAGAAGATATTCAAGAAGAATGAAACTAACATTGAACTTGGGTTTTCCAAGAATATTGTTGGTTCTGTTGGGTTTTCCAATAATTTTCACACATTATTTCTGCCCAATTATATACAACTACAATGTCATACCACTTAAATACAAATTTTATACAAAATTGATACAATATGTCTTTTGTATATTTTGTATCTGATTTATACATAGTAAAAACAAATTTTATACAACTAATTATATGTTATACAATTTATCTACAACTTATCTACAACTTTCACACATTATTTCTATACAGTTAAATACAACTACAATAACATACAACTTAAATACAAAATTCATACAATACGTCTTTTATATATTTTGTATCTGATTTATACATAGTAAAAATAAATTTCATACAACTAATTATATATTATACAACTTATCTACAATTTTCATACATTATTTCTACTCAGTTATATACAACTACAATATCATACAACTTAAATATAATTTTTATACAATGTTGTTCAACTTTCATACAATAGTTAAATAAAAAAAATATAAACAACATAATACAATTTTTCTACAATTGTTCCACAATTTTACTATAATTTCGTAAATATAATGTATATCATATCTTCTTCGAGTTTCAATCTGAAATTCAGCCAAAATCAAGTCTAATCTTCACCAAAACACCCTCAAAATTGAGATATAAACTCCAAACCATATTGCCAATTGTTTGCAACAACACCCAATCCAAACGAATAATGATTTTTCAAAACCCAAATTCGAATTCAAAGCTTCAAAGCTTTTTAATGGCTGTCAATAGTGGAATTGCTGCTCTCTTTTCCTTTGCTTTACATTACTGAAATTAGGGATTGAGAGATAGAGAGAGACGTAGAGAGAGTTTCCAATTCTTTGCAACAACACCCAATTCAAACAAATAATGTTTTTTGGGTGAATTCTCTAAGAAAACACCCAAATCAAGTGTAGGAATATCGGCTCCTTTGCCTTTTAGGGATGTTCTTTGAAGCTATTTTCTTCTTCATTGAAAATCAATCTAAGCACAGACGTTAATGGAGGTGATTTTTTGAAGAAGAGAGTAAAAATTTAGAATGCTTATGGAAGAAGAGAGGAAATAGGCGTTAGTGGAGGGATTCTGAATTTTGTGAAGAGAAAATCGTGGGTGGGTGCAAGATACGTGGGGGAGGGGTGGGTGGGATGTGGAGAGAGAAACGTGGGGGGAGTGTAAGATACGTTAGAGTGATTTTAGGACACTAATTATTATCATTAATTTTCTTAAAATGTACATAAATGGTAGTTGGGTATATAATATGTAATTATAGTAAAACTTGAGTAGGGAGAGTAATATAGTTTCATATAGTTTACAGAAATGTAAAAATTAGGGCAAAGATCACTTTTAGCTCATGGCCGAAACTATTTACATTCGATATTCCGAAAAAATAAATAAATTTTTTAATATTTATTTTGTGTGTATATATGTATATTTGTTATGAGTTCGGAGGTTTATGTGTTTGGAAGTTTACGAGTTTAGAAATTATAAAGTTTACGAGTTCGAAATTCCGCGGTTTCGAAAGTTTATGAAATTTGTGGATTCGGAAGGTTGTTGGTTTGAAAGTTTATGACTTCATGTTTATTATATCTAAATTATTTATGAATACTCCTGAGAAGTCATTTTCCTTAATTTGCGTATCAAACACCAGAAAATAAACAAGATTATTACTTATTTTCCAAGAAACATTTTTTTGGAAAACATTTTCCGTTATACCAAACACACTCTTTGTGTTTTAGGAGAATGACGTGATAAATACAATAGACAAACTAATGACTTTTTGCCAAAAGACTGTAAGTTGGGCAACTAACTTATAGCTTTGGCTGATTTTAACTTGTAAGTACTTGTTTAACCATCTTATAATTTAGCCCAAACACCCTCATATAGTTGACTATATTTTTCTCCATATATAATTTGATTGATTGATGAAAGTATCAGTCAGGGACTTACAAAAAGAATTTGAAATCTATGGAATCTATTGTACTTCAACATAAATAATTCGTTCACAAGAGAATAAAATAAAGCAACCCATTACCAATTTGTTAAGTCTATTCCAGCCTGTACACCCACAGCAGCAATGTCTTCCCCTGTTTGAAAAAACAAAACTCCCAACTAATACCCCGAAACTGTTCCCTTTTCTTCCAATCTTTTCTCAATTCATTTCCTTTTTTTTTTTGGTTGCATTCTTTGATCTGCCTATTCTCCGTCGCCATTTGAGATAAGCTGAAATCTGAGCAAAGAAAAGATTCAAAATGAGTGTAATCGACATTCTTACTCGCGTCGATTCAATTTGCAAGAAATACGACAGGTACGACATCGATAAGCAGAAAGATTCAAACATCTCCGGCGACGATGCGTTCGCTCGCCTTTACGCTGCCGTCGATACCGACATTGAAGCTGCTCTTCAGGTCAGTTCACTTTTTCACTGCTATTCAATTTTGTCAACAAAAGCAAAAATAGATCGCGTTTAGTTAGAATTGTTTGAAATTTCTGAAGCAATTTCCGGTTACAGAAAGCAGAGACAGCTTCGAAGGAGAAAAATAGAGCGTCTGCTGTGGCGATCAATGCGGAGATTCGAAGGACTAAGGCTAGATTAAAAGAGGAGGTTCCCAAATTGCAGAGATTGGCTATGAAGAAGGTGCATTTTCACTTGATTTTCTGTTGATTTTATGATCTCAGTAGTTAGCACATTGTCCAGTTTGTCATCCTTCTTAATTTGGTCAATTGTGCCCTTTGAGAATCAGATTTTAACTTGACTAACTGAGATACTTTTTTGATGTATCCAATTAGAGATTTTCTTTTTGTATTTGTTGTTTTGGGCTAAGATTTGCTTTTCAGATGTTAAGTATGTTCTGATACAATGTAAAAGAAGCAGAGCCATGCTTTTACTTGATATATTTAATTTTTAAAGTTCTTGTCACTGAACTCACTATACTTTTGTGATTTTGTGTTCAGAATCTAATTTTTGTTGAAAATTTGATGTTTTTCACATGTATATCTGTGTTCCGTGTCAAAAATACTGGGTTTGGTTGAACCCATAGCACTAAGGCTACATCTGTCACTGCAATGTAGAGCGACTATGACCCGTCAAGGATATACGGAAAAAAAACATAATTGAGCTTGGTCTTGTTTGTGTTTTACTCTACTGAGTTTTCTCTGATGCATTCGTCTGCTTCAGATTCATTGGACGCATTTGTTATTAGGGTTGGATAATGTAGTAGCTCAAGAGATGGGAGATTCATAGCAAGCATATATTGGTAGAAAGTGCCATATGAATGCCAAATTGCCCGTGGCTATGTTTAGGTGACTCGATGGTAATGGGTTCTTAGACTTTCATAGAACAGCATTCCTTTTATATATGTCCTCGTACTTATAAATTGTATTAGCCTAAGTTATTATCTTATTGTCTTGGGATAGGGGCTTTCAGTTGACTTGTTAAAGTTCATTTATTTGAGGGAATTCTGATGGTATTCAACTTGCATTTTCCTCAAGCTTGTAACCAATGTACCTGTGGACAACAAGATGAAATTACATGAAAAAGCTCATTTTTGAAGTAGAACCACAGAAGAGATTGTATAATCCAGATTTTTATCGGTTTGAATGAAGTTTTTTAAACATTCTATTCTAGCTCATGAAAGGGGGTTTACGAGTATATTTTGCTATCAGAGGAGGGTTATGAATGCCAATCTAAAAATACGATGTCATAAAATGTAATTAACCCTAAGAAGTTCGTAAGTTAATATATTAGTTTTACCTTATGTTGGGATTTTTTGGTCATTTATCATGCTTGCTTATTTTACCTTTAGCTTCTTGAAGTGTTGTTATTTCTTATTAAAGATTTGTATGTTTTATATTGAAATCCTGATGAGGTTTTAGTTTAATTCTAAATAGGTTCATTTGCAACTTTCCACGTTTAACAATATATAAAGAAAAGGTTTATATGCAACTTTTTCACAGTAGCCACGCTGGAACAATGAAGCCTTCTTCTATCCCATAGTTTTTCTTGCACTTCATAGTGATGTATTCTGCATTACCTTGGCATCTTTAGTTAGTTTCTCTCTCTGATGTATGTATGACAACATTTTCATTACTTTTCTTTTTGATAGGATGACATCATTTTCATTACTTATCAATATCAAATAAAACCCTTGTGCATGAAAGGTTAATGCTAAGGACAGCGGATGTGTGGTTTATTTGTAAGATTTAGATATAAAACCATTTATGTGTTTTTAACTGAATCATCCATTATGTGTCTCTAGATGCTTTGATAAATATTTTGTTGCTCAAAAGAGAACTATTAGTAACATAATAATTTGTAATACTGGAGATATCTGTGAGATAGATCAGGAAGAGGGACAAAAATGTTCAATAGTCCTAGAGTTTACTTAAATGATTTAGGTGTAGAAGCCAATTTGTGGACGAGTCCAACTTCCCATTATGTTGTGTACTCTTCTATGTTACATGGATCCTCCATTTGTCTCATCATACCCGTGACCGTTGGGTGTGGATGGATGTGGCTCTTTTATGTGCAGATTCTTCAAAATACACTAGAATTTAGCTCGAGCCCATTAGTAAAACAAACCTTGCATATAGGATACAATTTCCATAGCTGAGTTCATGTAAAATAGGTACTTGTGTTCATAAAAGTGGGTGCAAGTGACCATATCTTATTTGGAGTCATATCTTATTATGTTTTGTTTCCCTGTCTTATTGGAGTGACATGGTCAGTAGCACGCTGTCCATATTCTTTGTTTTCTCATCATTGGCAATCTTCTGTTTAGTTCTATTCTATGAATGTCATTGTTGGTAAAACATGGGAAAAGAGGTCTGAGTGACGGTTGAATGATTTAAAATGAGTTTGTCTTTTTAAAAGATGAGCAGATACTTTTCTGGAAAAGAAATTGTGGACAGTAACAGTCTTAGTTACATTTTTATGAGAAATACTAATTGCCCCAATAATTTGGATGTGACATACAATGAACTCAGTGTAATCTTGGCGACACACATCCTAACATATTAAACTTAAAGAGATTAGAGAAGCTTAAGAAAAATGTAAATTAATAAAAAAAGAGAAGTGCTGCAATTGAAGATCTTCACAGTGCTGGGTTGGGGGAGAGATGGTAACATTGAAATTTTATCTCTATTTCGGGAGCACCGTTCCACATGTACTTTGCACAGATTTGCAGTTTCTTTCAAAGAGTCTCAAATTAATGTCTTTGCCTTCGACGACCAAAACCGTTTTTTACCTTAGCCAGGAAGAAAGAAAGAGTGAAACCATTTGAACAGCATTTTTAGACTTCAATCTCTTGAAAGGATTTCTCTATTGTTATACTATAAGACATCGGTGCTAGGATTTCTCTGAATATTGACAAGATTGACGCGGAATACAATACAAGAAAGAACATTTATACATTCAGTAAACATGATCAAGTGCATGTTTAACCAAGTTCTTGGTAATTTAATTGGCATTTGCTGGTTATTAGTACTTTATCAGTCTATTAGGAGATCAACAATTCTAATATCTGGCAGTCTAATGACTAAGTTAAGGACGAGCTATTTTTATTTTTTTGGTTTAGTTTTTTGATAAATTAAGTCCTAGATTGGTTGACGGAATGAATAGTGGTCACCTTATATGATCTTGGGCAATCCTCCTCTCATGAGCTAGCTTTTGGGGTTGAGTTCGGCCCAAGGTTCAGTTCTTCACATGGTATCAAAGTCAGACCATTGATCCTTTTTGTTGTGTTCTCAATGTTGAGCCCCCCTGTTATCCATGCATTAGTTGTCCAGTCCTGGAACTGGGCATGTGAGGTGATGTTAAGTCCCACATTGGTTGAGGGAATAGGTTGAGGTTGCCTTATATAGTCTTGAAAGCAATCTCCTCTCATGAGCTAGCTTTTGAGTTGAACTAGGCCCAAGGTCCATTCTTTCATTGCAAGTAAATAAATTAATTGTGAAGATTAGAAGGGCATACAAGATTATACAACAGTCATAACGCACTACAAACAACCGGGGTCTACTAAGAATCAGTGTAATTTGAGCCATACTTGTCTCTGTTGTCAAGTAGTCAGCACTTCAAGGATTATGCTGTTTTACAGTTCCTTTCTGGAAGCTGTCATGTCGTTAAATTCGATTTCTTGTTTATCTTTTGTTATGTGCCTGGGTGGTGGTGATGGAAGGCGGAGTTCAGGGGGTATCCGAGGTCAGAATTGGTAGTGTTAATTGATTTAGGTTCTGGGATTTCATGAATACTTTTTTTCCTTAGATGCTTTTGCAGCTCTTCCTCGGGAACAAACTCCTAAGTGGATTTAAATTGATTTTCATCTCCTTTACTTTTTCTTCCACAACTTCTTTCATGCCCTGTCAGTTTTAATGTCAGTATTCATTAGCATAGGCCTGGTTATAGAAATCATTCACATCTTGCTAGTAAAGAGCACAAGGACCACTAGATTTTGTAATTAGTCAAAATTAAGTATATCTAAAATTAAGAGCAAAACTTGATTGGAAGGGCGTGATAGTTTGTAAATCTCAATTCTTTTATGAGCCAGTGTCGTCCAATCTCTCACTAGGAGCCTGTTTGGATTGGCTTTATAAAGGGGTCTTTTCAGCATAAATAGCTTTTAAGACAAAAAGCAATAAGTTGGGGTAGCCCAACTTATTGATTTTGGCTTGTTTTAAGCAGTTTTTAACTTATTTTAAGCACTTTTTAACTTTGCCAAACGCTGGAAAAAGCTAAAAAGAACTTAAAAGCTTATTTGACCAGCTCAAAAGCCAATTGAAACACCCTCTAGGGAAGATAGCTATTGACTTCTTGCTGTCTTTCACTCTGTAGTTGCAGCATGCTTTTCTGTTTGGAAGATATAGAATTATAGCGTTATTTAGGAGCTTTGTATGTGCAGCTGGTGCTTGTCACTGCCTCTCTTACCCTCCTTTCTCCGTTATTATGAATATCACAGATTTCTTTGGAACTGTTTTCTTTCTGCTGTTGTCCAATCAGTATTTGCCCTTTCATCACCAGAAACAACCTAATTCCATTCGGTTTGTTTTCTCAACTAATAATACTTCCTCTTGTAGGTTAAGGGGCTTTCAAGTGAAGAATTTGCTGCACGTAATGATTTGGTCCTTGCATTACCTGATAGGATAAATGCAATTCCAGATGGTGGAGCAGTTGCACCCAAACAATCAGGAGGATGGGGAGGTTCAGGTTCTCGTGCAGAAATTAAATTTGATTCAGGTGATTGTAAAGTTGCATCCCTCTCAAAGTTTTTCCATTGCAGGCAATTCGACTATCAACTTCAATATTATACAACTCCTTCATAGTAGCGATATTTTGTTTTTTCATATCTTTCTGTATTTGGATTGGATACAGATGGACGTTTTGACGATGAGTACTTTCAACAAACTGAAGAATCAAGTCAATTCCGACAAGAGTATGAAATGCGCAAAATGAAACAGGCATGTATTTCTTTTGTAATATTTAATCATGCACTTGTTCATGATTCGTTGGAAGTTTTTGCATTTTGTTACGTGTCCATGCTGGCTTGCTGGTTTCTTGAAGATGCATGATTTTGCGTCAACTTCTCACAGGACCAAGGTTTGGAGGTCATATCAGAAGGTCTGGATACTTTGAAAAACATGGCCAGTGATATGAATGAGGTCTGCCTTCTTTTGTGATCTATTTTGCCCCTTCTAAAGTAAGGATATTAATGATGCTCCAATGTATGCAGGAGTTGGATAGGCAAGTCCCTCTGATGGATGAGATTGACACTAAGGTTGGGAAATCTTACTGCAATTCTTTAGTCAATTAAATGACAAGAGTTCAGAACTTGTGCTCATTTGCTTTGATTTGTGGACAGATCGACAAGGCTTCATCTGACCTTAAGAACACAAATGTTAGGCTTAAGGATACGGTTAACCAGGTAAACTGAGCTGCCACTTTATTATGTCCTCTTTAAGTTCAGGCAGTCTGCAGGGTAGTACTCCTATCATTTGATGTACCGGATTTGACGATTTCCTTTTTTTTTTGTATGTGTGTTCCAGCTGAGATCTAGTCGAAACTTCTGCATTGACATCATTTTACTGATCATAATTCTCGGAATTGCGGCCTATTTGTATAAGTAAGTTCTCATTCTAACAAACTTTTAGAACCCAGTTTTTTAACCCACCCTGGTTACTTTGAAATATTATCTATATTTAACCTCCGTTATACTTTCGGGCCATATATATCCCCACCGTTATTAAAGTATTCCAATTTACCCTTATTTTTTAACGGTTCTCCAAGTGGCAGTGGACCCAGCTGTTAAAATGCCACAATGGATGCCACATGTGTATGTTGAAGTAACAAAAAAACCTTTTTCAAAGTCTTCTCTTTCGTTACTCGTACTCCATTACCCTGTAAATTGGCTGTTCTATCAATTATTTTTACAAGCTCAGAATCCCTCGCAGAAAGATAAGTGGGGATCTTTAGAGTACTCATTAAAATAAAATTTAATCTAGTAATCAAACCTATTCTACTTTAGCATTTCTCAATTGTTTTGAAAATTTTAATACAAGAATAATAAAAAAGAAGAAAAACATTGCTCTTTCTTATTATCTTGGGTTAATTTTTTCAGAATTTTTTCTTAAATTTCATTCAGAAATCAATACACTCACCTTACAGCTTACGTCTTGCGATTGGGTTACCTGTTTAGCAAATCGATTCCCTTTCTTGTTTATTCAATCCAAGAATTGTCTTTCTTCATCTGGATCCACCTAATGGGTCGTGTGATTTCACAGTTTGTTGTACCATTTCAGTCGTATGTGAATGTAAGTACAAAGGGATAAATTTCATTTTGTTTTGATATATGAACTAGAAATTGTAGCTTTTTTACTGTCCATTCCAAAATACACAGGGTAATGGAGGTATAAGCAACGAAGGAGAAGACTTTGAATTTTTTTTATCAAAAAATAAAAAAATTAATATACACATGTGATGTCCACTGGGGTATTTTAACAGCGGGATCCACTGCCACGTTGGAGCACCATTAACAATAGGGGTAAATTTGAATACTTTGTTAACGGTAGGGATATATATGACCCGAAAGTATAACGAAGGATAAATATAGACAATATTTTAAAGTTGAGGGACAAATCTGGCCTTTTCACCAGTAAGTTCAACTAC